GCGGGGGCTCTGGGGTGAGGGGCGAGCAGTGCTCGGCGCCCCGCGGGGGCACGGCCACGTCACCCCCGGCGGGGCAGGATGGTGGGGAGTACAGCTCTGTCACCCCTCAGCAGGGATAGTGGGGGCACGGCCACAGCAGCTCTCTGTGGGGATGAGCAGGGGGTACAACTCTGTCACCCCTCAGTGGGGCAGAGCTCTGGGGGCACAGCTCTGTCACACCGTGGGGGGACACAGCCCCATCACCCTTCAGTGAGGATGAGGGAGAGAACACAGTCCTGTTACCCCTCGGTGGGGCAGAGCTCTGGGGGCTCAGCCCTGTCACACCATGGGGGGACACAGCCCCATCACCCCTCAGTGAGGATGAGGGAGAGAACACAGTCCTGTTACCCCTCGGTGGGGCAGAGCTCTGGGGGCTCAGCCCTGTCACACCATGGGGGGACACAGCCCCATCACCCCTCAGTGAGGATGAGGGAGAGAACACAGTCCTGTTACCCCTCGGTGGGGCAGAGCTCTGGGGGCTCAGCCCTGTCACACCATGGGGGGACACAGCCCCATCACCCCTCAGTGAGGATGAGGGAGAGAACACAGTCCTGTTACCCCTCAGTGGGGCAGAGCACTAGGGGCTCAGCCCTGTGACCCCTCAGTGGGACAGGGTGGTGAGGACATGGTCTTGTGACCCCTCAGTAGGAGCAGAGCACTGGGGGCACAGCCTTGTCACCCCTAAGCAGGGCAGGAGGAGTTCAGTTTTGTCACCCCTCAGTGGGGATGAGGAGGGGGCACAGCCCTGTGGCCCCTTGGTGGGACAGGGTGGTGAGGACATAGCCCTGTGACCCCTTGGTGGGGCAGAGCACTGGGGGCTCAGCCCCATCACCCCTCAGTGGGGTTGAAGAGAGGGCACAGCTCTGTCAGCCCTCAATGGGTATGAGGAGGGGGCACAGCCCTGTCGCCTCTCAGAGAGGTAGAGCAGGAGAGGTTCAATTTTATCACCCCTCAGTGGAGCAGAGCACTGGGGACACAGCCTTGTTACCCCTAGGCAGGGCAGGAGGGGTTCAGTTTTGTCACCCCTCAGTGGAGATGAGGAGGGGGCACAGCCCTGTCCCTCCTCAGCAAAGCAGAGCAGTGGGGGCTCAGCCTCATCCCCCCTCG